CGATCTATGTGAAAAGTCCACTATTTGCAGCTTTCGATTGTCGGCGCGAAAGCTATTTGATTGTAGCTTTCGTTGTGGGAGCTAGACGGGAATCAACATCCATAGTGTTTTTAGATGAATATTTGCCCACAGCTCTCTACCAAGCAACTCACCAGCTACGTCCAACCTTTTATTTCTAAAATCATTACATTGCTCATCAGCATCTCTAATAGTTGCTAATATAATATTAGTCATGCTGTTGTCGCAGCCATCAAGATCAATCATCTCAGAAATAAAGTGTGTTTGTGGCGATTGTGGAGTTGCGGGCACAGTGATTAGAAAGTCGTCTGATTGTGACTTCCATTGTCGGAGCTTGATAGGGATCAGCTATCCATTGTGATTTTTAGACAGCCTACACACCTTTCAAAAACCTCTGTTTTGCCAATGACTGCAGGGACTTATCACCTGCATGTTTTAGTCTCATGTGCCATAGAGTGATAGTATCCTCCTCTGTAGTGATAGAAGCTGCCAGACCCCCTATAACTGTCTTGCCCTTCAAGTAGTATAGGAAGTTTTCCCTGACTCCTCGTATCACCACTATAGAACCATTTATGACCTTCATAGTAGCATCCTCTAAGGTCACCCGGTAATCAGCTGCCTCTAAAACACCAAGAGAAACGATGTTCTTCGTCAATTACGACACAAACCTCATTTCTTTTAACTCCCTCACCACACCATCATGCATCCTGATCCGGACTGAACCAATACAACCAATAGGGAATACGTGGTCATTTCCCATAAGTACGACATCCCTTCTTTCTAGCTCCTCAAAGCTGGAGAACCAGTCCCTCCTCGAGCAAATATGATATGTGGCTCCCGAATCCAACATCCACTCCGTAGAGTCGATATAGCAAACCTACGGTAGTGCAGGGCATGAATAGCCTGAAGAATCTAAATCTGAATGTTCACCATCAGCTTTGTAATATTCACTTCTGAAGCTTGTATAGCTTTCCCCTTATTCTTCTCGGTTTTGTCCTTTAACTTTGGGCAGTCAATCTTCCAATATGCCTCTTCTTTAGAAAAATGACATTGATTTCTACCAACACTCTTATAGGCACCTCTATTCTTCGATTTTGAGTGGTTGACTTGGCGACGGTTTGGACTACGACCTCGAACTGCTAATGCATCTCTTGATGCCTTCTCTGAGTGTTCATTATCACTCTTCCTTAACTCATAATTCACCAATACTGATGTCACATCCTTATAACTAACAGTAGTTCTTCCATTGATCATAGTGATAATGAACATACCATAATCATTCTCCGCTAATGAATACAAAAGTAGCATCACATTGTCTTCATCCTCAATCATGATGTCCACATTGGCCATATCTGAAAGTAGCTTCATGAAATTGTTGACATGCTCCCTAATAGAAACTCTTCTCTTCATCTTGAACTGGTAAAACCTCTTCTTCAAGTAAAGTCGATTCTTAATGCTCTTCGTAAGATACTTCTCATTAAGCGTCAAGCATGATCGAATAACTCCACAAGACCTATTATTCATTTTCTTCCTAACCTTATCCTCCATGTTATTGGATTTCTCTTGTAACTCAAGAGTCTCCTCCAAATTCTATGCATCGAATGCATCCATCATCTGGCACCTCTATAAACCAAAATTAAACTTCAGAACATCAATCTTCATATTATTGATGCTCAAACTCTATATCGCCTTCGTAAGAGACAAACCTGATGTGCTTGCTTCTCCCATGTTGTCGATCTAACTCTTCAAATAGGAATGTTTAGTGAATCCTTCGAACAAGCCCCAAGCCAAACCTGAAGCTCTGATACCGCTTGTTGTGCGCGGGGAAGCTCGAAACCACACAAACAAGAACGAGACAAATCACAACCTATAAGCCAAACACAATACCACAGCAAGACAAACGAATTTTATGTGGTTCAGCAAGTTGCCTACGTCCACGGGACAAGGAGGGGGGAGTTCTTACTATTAGAAATCAAGAGAATACAATAGGGTAACATATCTCACCAAATAAGCCCTTAAACAAAGCCTCTAGATTTCTCACAACTCTCTCACAATTAGATGCATTAATCCCCTCTTCAAAGACTGCTCAAAACGTTCTTGCTTAATCCTAATTAATTAGGATTAAGATTATATATCAACTCAGAATAAAACGGGTTAGAAAACCAAACTCAACTGTAGACCCGACTCACGGTCGATCACAGAACCACGTGCGATCGAACAGATCCAACAACCGAGAATAAAAACCCCTATAGGGTTTGGCCGATCGACCGCAGAACCCATCGTGGTCGATCGCGAAAAGTCCAAAGACTTTTCTCAGTCGTGTGCATGTTTGCGGTAGACCGTCGTATCATCCGCGGTCAACTACAAAACTGCCAGAATATCTCCTGTTGTTTTTCAGCGGTCTTCGTCGATGTGCTCATCATTTCTTCAATAATTATCTATATTAATATTGTATCTAATTACATAGATATTTAGTTTTGTAGTAAAAGACACTACTGTTTAGGCACCAAAAGATGGCGAGTCACCTACTGGAGAAGGAAGATCCCCTTGTAAACAAGTTGGCATGGGGCCCTAGCAACCGAGGGGTGTGTAAGGTAGCGGCGTGTCGGGTAACCATGCCTCTGCTTTGCTAGGGGCTATTTGGTTCATTCTGTTAAAAAAAAAGAAAAGAAAAGAAAAAAAATAAGGAATGCACTAAAATAGCTTTGATCCATGTATTTCCCTCCCTCTCTCTCTCTCTTCTCTCTCTGCTCTCTCTCTCCTATTAATTACTATTATATATATATATATATATATATATACTATATATATATAATATATATATTTATATTTATTATATATATATTATATATATTATATACTAATATTATATAGATATAATATAATATATATATATATATAATATATATATATATCAATAGAGTTCAGAGCCTAATTATTTGTATCAATGTGTTTGGTTTATTCCATAAAAATGGTAGATAAACATAAGAATAAATGAGGTTTATTAAGAGGTGTCAGAATCCTAATAAATTGCTCTCAATTTGAGAGGAGATAGGTTTCCATTAAAGGGTTCGTTCGGTTGGCAAAAAAAAAGCATGGATATTAAAGATAATGAAACATATTTCCTATAATAGGTTGATTTCTTATGTTTGATTCATTTCCTAAAAGTAAAAAAGAGATGAGAAGAGATGAGTTGTCACCGTATTAATGGATGATGTGAGTGATTTTTAAAGAAAAAAATTATAAAAAAATATTTTGAGGTTGTTTGGTTGGCTAAAAAAATAAGGAAATAAATTATAAGAAACATATTTTCTTGTTTAGGTTCTTTTTTTGTGTTTGGTTCATTCTTAAAACTAAGAAAATAGATGAGATGAGATGAGTTGTCATTATATTATTGGATGATGTGACGCATGCTTAAGGAAATTAATTTCCTTGTTTTTTTGAAGAAATAAATAGAAATAAAATGTTAATGAGATGAGATGAGTTGTCACCATATTATTAGATGATGTGTGTGATTTTTAAAGATGAGATGAGTTGGATCATGTGACCAATTTTTTGTGTTTGGTTATTTTTAAAAGTAAGAAAGGAGATGAGATGATATGAGTTGTTGAATAAAAATAATAATTTATTGGATATTGTGAGTGATTTTAGAGATCGAAATAGATAAAAATAATATTTTAATAGTTTCCATGTACTAATTTTCTTTTCTTGGTTTGTAGGAAACCAACCAAACAGACCCTAAAACACTCATGTTTCTCTACTTTATAGAATATTCATTCTATAAAATAGAAGTAAACCAAACTTAATAATATGAATAAAATGGAATAACTTTTGGGAATTCTGACACTATTCATTCTCATTCTTTCTCCATTCTATACAAAAACCCGAACCAAACAACCCCTAACTTCCAACTAGACCCGTCGCTTCCTTCGCTAATAGCTTGAGCTCTAGTCATGTAGCACCTTCTGATTGTCCTTGCCTCAACCCTTAATTCTATGTGTATATAACAACTACTATATTATTGGGAAGTTAAAATTTTTCATTTTCAATGAACTATCTAGAAACAAAAAATCCTTCTAATTTTGGCATATTTTCAATCATGTGAGATCTCTAAGAGGTTGATTTTTAACAACATATCAAATTGAAATCATTAGAAATACTATTTCTATACAATTGGCCTAGGGGTGGGCATGAGCCGGGCCGATTCAAGGCCGGCTAGGCCTGACTCGAGCATGATCGGGTTAGAGTGGGCCGGACCTATTTCTATGATCCCGAGTCTAGGACTAGAACTAGACCAACCCACGACCCGCCTAGATGCGGGTCGGGTCTGCCCGATCCACGACCTGGGTTGTGGGCCGACACATGGACCCGCCTAGATGCGGGTCGGGTCTGCCCGATCCACGACCTGGGTTGTGGGCCGACACATGGATTTTTCGTCCAATATTTTTTTCTATTTTTTACCCTTTAAATTATAATAAACACACACACAATAATAAAATTATTTCTAATTTATTTTTAGTAATTTAAGCTTGTATTAAACTATTTTTAAACTTATGTTAAACTTTTTAATCATTCCAAATAGACAGCAACAAGCTTAAAGATCGCTGCTTTGTTTCTCAGTGGGCCAAAAAGGCCC